TAATCAACGTCAAAGCCAACCCAGAACATGTTCATGATGCTATATAATATAAATACTAAAGATCTAAATCATACCTTTTGAGATTTAAGAAAACCGCACGTCTGACTGATCAAAGCGTTCTAAACAACAACCAGAAGAGCCTCAACCAACTGGTCTTCTTTGCCATTCTCGTTTCCACGATTGGAGTGCGGGTGGGCACACATCATTCAATCTCCCTTTGGTATTCCTAAACTCCTTCCAACCACAAGAGAGCCAAAGGAAAAATCGTTCTTGAGAATTAAACAATGTTTCCTCTCAGGAATCTTTTATCAATAGCCTCCAAAAAGTCTCTCAAGTGATCTGATGAATAATGTCACTTACTGGGCTATTTATAGTGTTTAGGAAGTTATACTACTGTAATAATTAGGTTTCCTAAATTTTTTATCGCATCCAGAGTCGGTTTCACCACGTCAGCACGCGCTATGCGTTACAACCGGTCGATCGGTGACAGAGACGTTATAACTCACCAGTCGACCTATTCTTCACAAACCGGTCGACCTGACCGGTCGACCTGTCTTCACTAACCGGTCGACCTGTTTGCACTCACAATAGTTGTTTCCTAGTTCTTCAACACGGGAAACTTGCAGAGAGCCTCAGTTTTGATTCAAGCAACCCAATAGAGAAAATGCCTAATCAAAACAGTCATATAATAGTCTTCCCATATTAAACAACTCTTAAAATAATAATTCAACCAATTAATCTAGAATTAATTTAACAATTAATTCACTCGATAAATCACTCATGAATTAATTAACCAATCTCCTATTAAGTTTGAACCCCTTTTATGAAAATAACACAAGTTACCAATATGTAGGAAATACACCGTATCGTTACAGAAAATTATGTGAGCTAGCAAAGGGACCCAATGGACATATATAAATCAAGCTCCTATAATCACAACGCTACTTGTAAACTAACAAGTCCGTCTCATGGTTATAAACCTCTAGCGCTACTCCACTAAAAGCCTAGAGCTGCACTCTCGATTTATATAGCGTATTTACAAAGCTCTAAGTAGCTCTCGTCCATGACTCAATATATTAGTGTATCATCCCCATAGGATATCCATAATCAACTTGAGGTCAAGTTCCGTTTTACCTTCCTGATTACATTTATCTTATGTTCCATTATCACACCATCAGAAAACCACTATTCGTACCATTACAAACAGTAAACCATTAGATAACATGGAGTAGTTTAATGGCCGAGCACTTGTATTTTCTAATCCACTGATAATGCATAAGAGGATATCATTGACTCTTTATAGGAGCTAGGGATTCCACTATCTATGAATAACGAATCTCCGCATACACGAGTCATACCCCCAATGTACCGGTAAGCGTACCTTTACATAATGTCAGGATGTCTCCCTTTAGTACATCAAAGGATACAAGTCAAGCATACGGGTTCATTATCTATCTCAGGATTAAGATGACAACATATAATTCGTCAAAAGTGAATTATTTTTTTCAAACAGAATCATTAATTAAAACAATTCAACTTTGGTCCGATCCAATATAGATTTCACCATTAGAAACTATATCAATGTCTCTACCCATGGAGTCCCACCTCCGACGACTAAGACAAGCCATCTCCGTTAGGAAGTAAACAACATAACAATCTTAACATGAATAAAGCGCCCAACTTTATTCCCTCGATTGTGGATCATATGATTTAGACTATCATCTTTAGATTCATATCTTCCACATGTTCTTCACATTACATGCATGGCCTAAAGATTTAGAATAACGGTATCAGACTTTTAGTTTGTTTATCATACATTTAACTAATATGAACATAATGAGGACAATACATAGATATATGAAATAAATAAATCTTTATTAAGAGTCAAAATGTCTAAAAAAACATCGTTACATTTATTCCTATGGGCATAAACGCTAACATCCTTCATGTTAGCATTCTTAAAAATGATGGAGTCATCCGCAAAAAGCAAATGACTAATCTTCGGTGCTGCTCTTGCCACTGCCACTCCTGAAATCTGTCCATTTGCCTCAGCCTGCCTCAAAAGTGCCGTAAGACCTTGCACACACATAAGAAACATATACGGAGAAATCGAACATCCTTGACGTACACCCCTCTTAGGTTTCACGTAGCCATTAGGGCAACCTCAAACATCAAAGGACACGGAAGAGGTAGTAACATAATCCATCACCAATCGACGGAACTGAGGACCAATACCCAACTTCTCCATCATTCTATCTAAAAACGGCCTCTCAATCCTATTGTAAGCTTTACTCATATGCAACCTGATCCTCATAAGGCCCACTTTACCCCCGACTTTCCTTTAGATTGAATGTAGAATCTAGAAAGCAACCAACACATTATCTGAAAGAATACGTCCCGAAACAAAAGCACTTTGCTTGGGCGAAATCACACGGGGAAGCACAGCCTTTAATCTATTTGCAAGAAGTTTAGAAATTGCCTTGTAGAGGATATTACATAGACTAATAGGTCTGAAATCTGCAACAAGCTTAGGATCCTTAATCTTCGAAATGAGCACAACATTTGTACCATTCAATGCTTCCACCGACTCATGACCATTAAGAACCCGTAAGCAAACCTGAATGACATCCTAACCAACTAAATTCCAACTTGTCTGGAAGAAGAGAGTGTGAAAACCATCCGGCCCAGGGCTTTGTTCGGCCCTATACTGAACAATGCCTTCCGTACTTCCTTCGTCGTGAACTCTTCTTCCAACCTCGTTTCCCCCATGGTGCGTTTGGTTATAGTGGGGGAACAATAATGAGAATGGGAATGAGAATGGAATGGAGAAGAAAATTGATTCATTTGTTTTGTTGTAATTTTAAGAATTCTCTGGAATGGAACAAAATATTTTCATGTTGACAAACTTATCCTTATGCTATATATAACACTAATATTTTATCTATCAATATAATATATAAAATGTAATATAATATAATAAAATTATTTTTATATAATATATTATATAATTATGATATATAATATAACAATATTATTAAAATTGTTAATTTGATTATAATATTATAATATATAAAATGTAATACAATATAATAAAATTATCATTATATAATATATTATATAATTATGATATATAATATAATAATATTATTAAGATTATTAATATAATTATAATTTTATAAAATATATCATAAGATTATATAATAAACAATAATAATTCAATTATAATATAATTAAAAATTACGATTATATTACAACTAATTCAATTATAATTTTTATTATATATTATATTATATTATAAGATATAATTACTATATAATATATTTTAATTATATTATAATATTGAAGAGTAATTATGAAAAAAAATAAAAAAGAACTTAGAATGCCCATTCCTCCCATATGAGAAAGGAATGATGATTTACCTAAAATGAGTGAATGATCATTCCTTTTGAATGATCATTCATTTATTATAAATTCAACCAAATATCAAATTAGAATTCCATTCCATTCTATTCAATTCCTTTCCACCCAACCAAACACACCCTAAGGTTGTGTTTGATTGGGGGAAAAAGAATGAAAAAAAAGCAATGGAGCTTCACTATGATGTTTGGTCGACTTTTAGAAAATGAATAGTCATTCAAAATGGAATGGTTTTTTCATAAAGTGGGTAAATTATCATTCTTTCCCCTCACGGATTATAATATTTTTTATTTTATATTATATTATGTTATATTATAAGATATAACTATTCTATAATATATTTTAATTATATTATAATATTGAAGGATAATTATGAAAAAAAATAAAAAAAGAACTTAGAATGGCCATTCCTTCCATATGGAAAAAGAATGCTGATTCACCTAAAATGAGTGAATGATCATTCCTTATAAATCCAACTAAACATCAAATTAGAATTTCATTTATTCTATTCCATTCCTTTCCACCCAACCAAACACACCCTAAGGGTGTGTTTGGTTGGGAGGAATAGAATGGAAAGAAAAGATCATTCTGATAATTCCATTATTTGGTAGCTTTATTTTGGCTAGGAAAGGCTTTCTGTGGGAAAGCTCATTCACTCAATTTGAGTGAATCTTCATTCACGTGGGGGGTGAGTGGGAAGGCCTCTTTTTTTTCCCCCAATTTGGCCCTCGTCCCCGATAGATAGAAGATCAAAAGAAGAAACAACCCTAGCCCCATCTCCCCTCGACTATGACTCCAACTGAGGCCAACGATGACAGCGCAAACACTTGACGGAAGATCGATCGACTATTGACGCAGGCGACGAGAAATGACCGTTGGTCACTTCATTAATCTGAGCAGGTACAATCTTCCCTCTTCTTCCTTTGTGGTTCTTGGAGATCCCTCTTCTTCCATTGTTTTGATTTTTTGAAATCTGAGTTTTGATTTTTTGATAACTGGTTTTTATTTTTTCGATAATCAGTGTCGCCGTCCCGAGTTTTTGACTTTGCCGGAGTTGATTCTGCCATCACAAAGTTAATTATGTTTCATTAAACTAAAATTCCATTTCATTCTGTTCCATTCCTTTCCACCCAATCAAACACACCCTCAATTGACAAACACATTTTAATTGAGGTGTGCACTTTTATACTTCTACCATTTTTTCAAGAAAATCTTATATATGCTTCATTAAAATCATTTTTTTTTTCTAATATTCACTGTGTTTCAATCTATTACTATTCATTTCTTATTAATCAACTGGTCACATGATTCTATTAAACTCTTTAAAAAAACAAATAAAATAGCAAAATAATTATTTGAAAATTTAACATCTATAAATTTCTTATAAAAAACTTTGACAGCCATACATTAAAAATAATTTAAAAAAAAATTAAATCCACACGTGCCAAGTGCATGTCCAGTGTAATTATAAATCCTTCTTAGCAAAAAAATAAAATAAAATAAAATAAGAAAGTGGAAATGAAAAGAAAAGGAAAGGAAAAATAACAAGAGTGGTATTATTACCCAATGCTAATATTATTGTATCGATATCATTATCGAGATTAATTTTTGATATATTTTTCTCATCTCTTCTCATCTGCTGAAAACCCTAGAAAGAGAAACAGACAACAAGCTTACGGAAAGAAAGAAGAAGAAAATCAAGGAAAGAAGATGGATTTGGACCAGTGGATCTCAAAGGTCAAGGAAGGCCAGCATCTTTTGGAGGACGAACTTCAACTTCTCTGCGAATACGTCCGTATTTTCTCTTTCCTCTCTCTCTCTCTCTCTCTCTATTTTTTTTTTTTTTTTTTTGCTGTTTTTTCAGTTAGGGTTTCGTGATCCGTTTTTCTCTCTCGTGTTGATCTTGTTTTCTTTTTTTATTTGTGTTTGGATGCATGGAAAATTCCGAAATTGAATTTAGTTTCACCGTTGTATGGTTGCGTGGCACTCGGGAGATCTGAAGAATGGGAAAATGATTTTGATTTTCGAGATTAAAATTTACTTTTTTTTTTGCTGTTTTTTCAGTTAGGGTTTCGTGATCCGTTTTTCTCTCTCGTGTTGATCTTGTTTTCTTTTTTTATTTGTGTTTGGATGCATGGAAAATTCCGAAATTGAATTTAGTTTCACCGTTGTATGGTTGCGTGGCACTCGGGAGATCTGAAGAATGGGAAAATGATTTTGATTTTCGAGATTAAAATTTACAAGCATGGGCTTTGATTTTGTTCGGAGATTTAAATTTATAGCATTTTTTAGTGTGGTTGGAATTTGATTTAAATTTTGATTGCATTTCTTGATTGGTTTCTTACTAGTAATTTCTATCAGGTACTGTTTTTCCTCATTGGTCCTTCTCGAGTTTGAGGATCTTTAGAAAGTTTCTGAACTAATTTGGTTTCTGGAATATAAAGCAGCAGTGTGAAAAAGAAAAATATGATTTTGTTGAAAAGGAAAACAAAATCATGAGGAAAAAAAATTATAATCGCCACTTCTGCAATCCTTTGACATTACTTTCCAAGAATTCTTTTGACTTTCCATTTTTAGGAGGTAAAATCATGAGAATAGATGTTGGCCGCGGGTAATGAACCGCCTAATGAAGTTCGAAAATTTAAGTAGTAGTACCCTACGTCAATTGATTTATTACTTCCAAGGTATCTAAAAAGAGATTTCTGCTTAATTGCACTGTCTGAAGTCACATGCTATCTTAAAATGCCTTTGACGATATGACATTTGTGTGCACCATGTTGGAACCATTAGAAGCGTTTAGAGCTGTTCAATATGATATCATGTGGTCATATTTGTTCAATATGACAATCTTGTAATTTGGAATTCTCATATATGCTTTATATCTTTTAAGAGACTATGGTGTTTTATGGTTGTCTTATACTTCGCCAATTGTGCAATGTTTTGTAGGTTAAAGAGATTCTTATTGAGGAATCCAATGTGCAGCCTGTAAATAGTCCAGTCACTGTTTGTGGCGATATCCATGGCCAGTTCCATGATCTAATGAAACTTTTCCAAACAGGAGGTCATGTTCCGGATACAAATTACATATTTATGGTATAATCTATGTTTTCTTATTTAAGCTTTCATGACTTCACATTGCTACGCCATCAAAACTTTTGTATGTGTGCCCTTGCCGTCGTGCTTAATATTCCTCAATTTTTGGCAGGGTGATTTTGTTGATCGAGGTTACAATAGTCTTGAAGTTTTCACGATTCTTTTGCTTCTCAAAGCTAGGTATTTTTTTTTTTATTTCTTTTTGTATACATTCTTTTCTCTGATTTTTTTCCTAGTAATAATCTTGTTTTTGTATCGTCTTTATTGCACTGTTTATATCATATTGTTTTTAAGGATACCTCCTGTTTTCTACTTCCTTCCTCCTGTGTAATTTTTACTTTTTCTTTCTTTGGATTTCTTTTTTTTTTTTTTGATAGATTTGTAACTTGTCCACGTGCAGTTATTAAATTATCAGTTTCACGAATTTCATATTTTTTTGGGGATGTTTAGAATTTCTAAGACAAAAAAAAAAAGCAAATTAAATATTTACAAGTATTACATGCATTTTTACTTTTTGTTAAGAGCATTATGTCACAATGAAATTTAAAATTGGATAACGTGATACTATGTAAAATTTATAAACGCGGGGTATTGATATAGGAACTTTCTCTCTTTTGTGTTATGGATTTTTTAACCTGTGAATTTAGAACGTGTTGTCCACTCCCTCTTCTTCTTTTTTTCTTTAACATCATTAATATAGGCCTTCTTTTATTGCAAGAAGCAATTCTTGAAAAATCGCAATCAGGTTTTGAGGTGGTTTACCTCTGTAAGGTGATATGGACACCTCAAGGCGCTTGAAGCGTGCACCTCAAAGAATGCTAGTAAAAAATTGAAAAAAGGATGGTAATTAGAATATTGTAGTTATACTCGTAATCTTTATATATGGTTAACTAGTCATTATCCTAGGAATAAACTAAAAACTTCATTCCATGAGAGATAAAAGTCTAGTTCACTACTAGGTTGCTGGTTGCTGGCTGTCAGTGAAGAAGGATGGAGAGGGTTGTGTTTTTGAGGTGGGGGGAGTCGGGGCACAAAGTTTTCTAATGTTATTTCAGTTTCCATCTCCTAACTAACCAGAATTTCTTCCATCTTTAGAGCCCAAATAAATTGGACCTATTATAAAGTCTCGGGTAGACTTTGCTGTGCTTATAACATGCCAAACAAGGCCTGCTACCCCATTTACAAGAGGCTTGTCTTGTATGCTCGGAGGCTTATGCCTCATTGTGTGTAAGGCGTACGCCTCTTTATGGCAATGAAACTATAAAGTGCAAAGATTATGATTTTTTCTGTAATTCTTTTATCAAATGCTTTGTTGCTGATTAGCCTGATTTCATGTGTTTATAGTTTTTTCATACTTTTTATAACCTAACACTCCTTGTTATGGTGTGTATAATTGCAGATACCCAGCTAACATAACCCTTTTGCGTGGAAATCATGAGAGCAGGCAACTGACTCAGGTAGCTTATTTACTTCTGGGAAAGAAAATGATAGAGGACAATTGCATGTAACTTCTTTTAACTTCAGGTTTCATATGACATAACCCTTCTGTACTTTCCTTTATTTGCATTTTTATGCACTCAACATGGTTAAATCTGTTATTTTCTATTCATCCAGTTGCAATTGTCTTCTGAAAGCATTATCTGGTTAAAGCTAGTCTCTATTGGATTACTTGCATTCAAGTCCTTACTAGATTATTATGTTTTACCCAACAAAATCCCGTGAACCAATGTTATTATGAGTTGAAGTGGTATGGTTCATCAATGTGATTGGCGTGTTAGAGATGAAATATTGGGCATTGTGAAACGCACCTTACTGAGGTTTGAAGGGAAGGAAGCTGACTATTTCATGCACAAATGTTTAAAAAGCTAGAAAAATGCTTGACCATTTACATCCATTTTCTTTTTTTTTTTTTAAATAAATTTGGTCCCTGAAAAACAGGGCTTGTCTCACTTTGTCCATACAAGTCAAAAGGCACAAAACTGTCTCCCAAGCTTTTCATAAGTTGCAACTTTTGTACTTCTATCAATGAAACACCAATTTTTAATATTTTTAATCACATGTGGTTCATTGGACTAATTGGTAAAAGAAAATATAGGAGAGTAATGGCGATGCGGGATTACAAGCAAAAGAGAAGCCCACTTAAGAGTTAGAGTGAGAAAATTTGTGATTTTTCATATAGGAGAGTAATGGCGATGCGGGATTACAAGCAAAAGAGAAGCCCACTTAAGAGTTAGAGTGAGAAAATTTGTGATTTTTCATTTATTTTTTTTTTTAAGTTTTTAGATTTTTTAACTCTATTTTGATTGAATTTACTATACTACCCTTTATCAAGCAGTCATGTCACCCATATGTGATTAAAACTGTAAAAAAATTAGCATTTTATGGATAGAAGTATCAAAGTTGCAACTTATGAAAAACTTGGGGGCCAATTTTGTGCCATGCTGAATCATAGGGGGCAGGGGCATAATGAGACGACCCCTATTCTTCAGGAGCCAAATTTGAAATTAACTTTTTTTTTTTTTAAATATCATTATTGATCACGACAAGAAGAAATTTTGAAGAACATACATATATATATATATATATATATTTGGTGCTTCTCCCAATTAATGTCATAATGCAAAATTTGTTCCAGCTGTTGTCGTTTTTCTAGCAATCATTCTAGCATTATAAGATAAAATGTGGCTGTTGCTTTCCTTCATAAAGGGCATAAAACTTTCCTTCTGTTTTTTGTGTTTTTTCACTTTTAAATAAGACAATAAATTGATTATTTTTCCTCCCAGCCTCTTTGGCTTTGGATCGACTCGAGTTTCACGTTTCAAGAGGCGCGTTCCTTATTAACGGCAATTTTGATTTTATCATTGCAAGGAATTTTGTTATTTTTCATACTTAAACAGTATAATCCTTGTTTCAACTTTCAACTCCTATGATTTTTTAACAACTGAAATAGTTATATTTATGCATAGCCATTCAATTGCCTTTAGAAACTTTGATGATAACATTATAGATCTTATGCATGTTGTATAATTCCATCCTGCCAGGTATATGGTTTTTATGACGAGTGCCAAAGGAAGTATGGAAATGCCAATGCATGGCGGTATTGTACAGACGTTTTTGATTATTTGACGCTCTCAGCAATCATAGACGGCACTGTAAGCTTCTTTCTCTTTCTTTACACGTACAAGACTCAGACACAACAGTGGATGCATATACTTTGTATGTCAATGCATGTGTGCATGATTACAAATGTGCTTTGTGTGGATCTTGTGCTCTTTAAAAGCATTTGTGCATCAGTGCTTTTCATTAATGCATATGTATTTTTTTCTGTCATCCAGGTGCTCTGTGTCCATGGTGGCCTTTCTCCTGATATTCGAACAATCGATCAGGTTCTTCTTCTTAATTGTTGAGCATGTTGTAGTATGAATTACCTGAATAAACTCTTATATTTTAGTTTTTGTAAACGAGGGCTGCAGATATGTTTTCTGAATTAACCGTGTGCTTTTTCATGCATGGACTTCTCAATGTCTGATATTCTTGGTCTGATTCACACAGTTTACATGTTTGAAATTTTTAAATAAATTTGGACGGTGCATACCTTTTTCTTAACATCTACTCTCATAGTTAATTCTTTGCAATCTAGGTTACCCTTTATATTAAATTACTTACGACCAAGATATAATGGTGCTTGATTATGATGGAAAATATTTTTTCTATGCATTTTATCTTATCTTCATATTTCTTCTTTGAGCCTTGAAACCCTTCTATGGCAACTGTATATACATGACGTCGTCATTATCATTTTTGTCATTCACTACGATATCATTAACATATTAACTTTTCCCCTTGACAGATAAGGGTTATTGAACGAAATTGTGAAATTCCTCATGAGGGGCCCTTTTGTGATCTCATGTGGAGCGATCCCGAAGATATTGAAACATGGGCAGTCAGTCCACGTGGAGCGGGTTGGCTTTTTGGGTCCAGGGTCACTTCTGAGGTGATTCCCTGAAAATTTACAAATGTATTGCTTAACACTGAAAATGAAAAGTTAATGATTCTGTTTTTTTTTTTTTTCCCCCCTCTCTCTCTCTGCAGTTTAATCACATAAACAATCTTGATCTGGTTTGTCGAGCACACCAGCTTGTACAAGAAGGCCTCAAGTACATGTTCCAAGACAAGGGCCTCGTTACGGTGAGACAATTTACTTTTCATATGATTTCAACCGTTTAATATTTTTAACAGGGTTTTTGAGTAGTTTGGTTCTTTGATCTTTTCAGGTGTGGTCTGCGCCAAACTACTGTTATCGTTGTGGGAATGTAGCTTCTATATTGAGTTTTAATGAGAACATGGTACCACAAGCTTGACAAGCCATTCTTTTGTTTTATTTTATATATACTAGTTAAAAGCACGTGCCGTGCTCGCGCATTGCTTATATTTTTTGGATACGAAAACTCAGAAGTTCTCATAAAATTGCGTTTTTTTTTTTTTTTAGCTATTTATTATTCTCCTAGTAGTTGAAAGATTAATTAAAAAGAAAAATTAAGGTTTAGTCGAGATTTCGATTCCAAACCGTGAATTACTGTTTCATAGGCCACTGTTGTCAATTGGATAAGATTTTGTTGGCTGATTAAAGCGTTAGTGCCATGTGCTATTGCCCTTGATGTGCTTTTTCTGGATTTATCACAGGAGAGAGAGGTGAAGTTTTTCACCGAGACGGAGGAGAACAACCAGATGCGAGGACCCAGGACAGGAGTTCCATATTTCTTATAGTCATTTGGAGGATAGCCCTGCATAACTTGTATAATTATTGATTGAACTGTTGCCATAGGTCATTGCAATTTGAAGGTGGACCTTTCTCACACACTGCCTCTGGAGATTTTCCATTATTTAGGTTGCTTTCAATATCTGTGGATTCTGTATTAGCTTTTCTAAGTTGTCATTCGATTATTCATCCATGGCTGTTTTCTTCCATTATGTTAATTCTCTGCGAAACTGGCTCATTTCCTTTAATATCATAGCCTATTTTGTATCTTTTAACACAGTTGAATTGCCAATTTTCGTGTTTATTACATTGATTTTCTAGCTTCCGTTGATGTTTCGGGGTTTAGTTAAAACACGACTTGGTTGAATTATCGTTGTCCACTGTCATTGTCGTTTTGCACTTGCTTCAGTTAGCTAGTAGCCTAGTACTGCTGTAACGGGAAATCGATTTACTACCGGCAGGTGAGAATTAAAAGCCTTGGGTTCTCACACGAGAGTGAAGAATCATATGGCTCTTTCTTAAATATTATGATCTTTAAGTCTCATTCATTTTATCGAATAATTTTAGTTATAGTTAAAATTTTTTATAAAAAGTTGCATCTAATTTTTTTTGGTTACAGTTAAAAGTTTTTATATAAAATTACATCTCAATTTGAATTAAAAGCTTGAATTGTTGAACTAAATGAGATTTTAGGGTCCGTTTAGCTTGTTGATTCGAGTTTTTAATTTGAGTTGAGATGTGATTTTATATGAGAGTTTTTTACTGTAACAGAAAAATTAGATGTGATTGTTTGTGAGAGTTTTTTACTGTAGAAAAATTTGAATTCTAAACTCGAATCAGCGAAATAAATGGGTCTTAGTGTATTTTCCATCTGGCTTTGTTTACTGCGTACGTATTATTGCTGCAAAGGCATTGCCTGCATTGAGAGTTTATTTTCCTGGGCCACAAAATTGCATCGGTCCATTTATTGGAATATTCAAGGAATCCATCTAAATCATGCTTAAAAGATTTTTTATCGTCTAAAAAAGTATCGGTAAATAATAAGGTAATAAAGTAATTTAACAACTACATATTCATCTATTGTTTTAACTCTCATTTTTTACTAAATAATATGAAAGATTAACATAGTTCTCTCCATCTTTCATGTTTCTCATCTTTTCAACCCTCTCTATTTTTTTTTAGGCTCAATTTCTTCTACCAAACGGAGCCTAAATTAACACAAAAGAAAGTACCTTTCGTAAAAAAAAAAAAAACAAAAGGGGGAGTAACTTGTGAAACTTAGCTCGAAATTACAATTTTGAATTTCTTATCTCAATTCTCATCAGTTGTCTCTACAATACAATTTTGTCAACTCAGCCAAATTTAAGGATTTGGATACATAATAAATTCTAAATATTAAAATTATTTAGAGTAATTAAATGAGTTGTCAAAATAGTATTTAGGATGGCCAATGGGATAATAATTTGGGAAAAGATATTTGAATGGGAGCTTTACTGTTTGGATGACCTCTTTCATTTGCGGCTTGGATTCAAACTTTGTAGAAGATTTTCTCTTTTTCTTTCTTTCCTTCAAATTTTGCAAAAGCCTCACGAAATGACATGGCATAATCTTTAGGATCGTATTTAACGAATAATGATGATGACTTTTAATGTGCATTTAGAGATTCTCTTTGCCTCAGCCATTCGATTCCTTGAGCTTTTATTGCTACGGTCAATCGCGCCTTATCCACCGTTGAAATTGAACTCTATGGTTAGAGATATTTTACGGGTGATTTACTTAGCAAATAACTCGTGTCAGAGGCCAAAGTCGGTTATGGCACGAAGTAGAAAAAAAAAAAAAAAAACAGACGAGGCAGCTTTAATATCATAAATAGGGGTGTAAGAAATGAGTCCGAACTCGACGAACCCGTCCAAACCAACCCAACCGTATCTGAAAATAGGGGTGTAAGAATTGAGCCCGAACACGAAAAACCGCCTGACCCGACCCGCCCGACCGACTAAATAGGTTTTTTGTTTGTTTTGTTTGTTTTTTTTTTCCCGGATTAAAATGGTCCCAACCCGCAATGTCCCGACCCGGCCGTTTTGACGCATTAGCCCTAATTCCTAAATCCCTCGTCCTCACTCCTCACCTCAGTCTCTCGACTCTCTCCTGATCCTCTATTGTCCTAGCCTCTGGCCTCTGGCCTCTCGCCTCACGCACGCCTCACCTCGTCTCGTCCTTCACCCTAAATCCCTCATCCCTAAATTACTCACCGTTCCTCGTCGTTCCTCGCCGTTCCTCACCGTTCTTGCTTCTTGCTTCTTCTAGTTTCATCAGGTAAGTTCCTTCTGTTGGAAAATAATAGCATCGAGTACGCAGCGGAATTTTAAAAAATTTAAATCAATGCCAAAGCCAATCAAGAACATGTTCATGATGCTATATAACATAAATACTAAAGATCTAAATCATACCTTTTGAGATTTTAGGAAACTGCACGTCTAACAGATCAAAGCGTTCCAAACAGCAACCGGAAGAGCCTCAACCAACTGGTCTTCTTTGCTATTCTCGTTTCCACGATCGGAGTGCGGGTGGTCACACGTCGTTCAATCTCCTCTTGGTATTCTTGATCTCCTTCCAATCACAAGAGAGCCAAAGAAAAAATTGTTCTTGAGAATTAAACAATTTTTCCTCTCATGAATCTTTTATCAATAGCCTCCAAAAGGTCTCTCAAGTGATCTAATGAGTAATGTGACTTAATAGGCTATTTATAGTGTTTAGGAAGTCATACTTCCGTAATAATTAGGTTTCCCAAAGTCTTAATCGCATCCAGAGTCGATTTTGCCACGTCAGCATGCATTTTACGTTACAACCGGTCGACCGGTGACAGAGACGTTATAACTCACCGGTCGACCTGTCTTCACTAACCGGTCGACCTGTCTACACTGACAAAAGTTGTTTTCCTAGTTTTTCAACAAGGAAAACTTGCATAGAGTCTCAGTTTTGATTTAAGCAACCCAATAGAGAAATTGTCTGATCAAAACAGTCATATAATAGTCTTCCCATATTAAACAACTCTTAAAATAATAATTCAACCAATTTATCTAGAATTAATTTATCAATTAATTCACCCAATAAATCAC